GGGGGAACTCCTCAGCACAAAGACACAGTGGCTGCGCGGTTTTCTCGCACAGGTATGCGGGTCGTCCCTGGCTGCAACCGTTCATTCGGTGACTGATCAAAGGTACGACCACTCCTCACATTTACAACCATCACAGCATCCCCACAGTGACATAATCAACATTCAGACGCTTCGCAACCAGCATGCGTTTATGACGGTTGCAGCATCCCGGGGTTGTGTGGTTGCTATCTGCAATCTTCCCAGCTGGCTCCTGACAAGCAGAGTCAATGGGGAAGACGGGTTCCCATAGCGACCGTGTGATTCGCTTAAGAACCGGGGCAAAAAAGGTCATAAAATTGGCAGCTCATTTAACAATTGCCCTGCCTAACCATGGAAATCCTGGCTCCATTTGTGGTTGTCAGTCAAGGACTACCTGTACATATGCACACGCAATAACACTTGGCTATTTTAAAACTTTTTAAAAATCTTTTGTATTCCTGAATCTACGCAGACACCTCCTCCCTGAAATGGAGAGTTGAGGGTATGAATTGGAAATAAAAACTTCGGGTCTTGGACCTCGGGGACTAATCAGCTTCCTTGTTCCCAAATTGGAAGGGCCCCCACTCTGTTAATTTGCATCACCGCTCTCTCTCTCTTCCTTTAGAAACTCGGTAAAGACACATCTCTTTTCTCAGGCTTTTAATAGTTAATTATTTTATTATTCATGTTTTAATTTACTTGTTTTATCGTTTGGTACCCGGCATGTGAGTGTGTATGCAGGCCTCTGCTGATTTAAATTGCAACTTGCCTAGAATGTTCATTTTGAGCAGAGCCAAACACAATAATTCTACAAATGAATAGATCAAGTAAATCATACATAATCAAGTAAATAATTAAAATCTGGAGGCCTTGTTTAATCGTCTGCATGTCTGTGTGATCAAAAGCATTAAGGAAAAGGATCAGAGGTGGCTGAGGAATGGCCTCGGCCAAGCTTCCTGCATGCGTGGAAGCCTGCCGGCCCCAAAATCAGCCACTTCCGTCCACTTCGATCACGTGGCTCAGCCCATAGCTGGAGGGCTGTCACATCCACAAATTAAATATTAGGGAGGGAGTTTAAAGTTCAACCTCCTCTCTCTCTCTTCCCCTCCCCCTCAGATTTTCTGCTCCGTGCTTTGCTTGTTCTGCTTGAGTGCCTTACTGACGAGTGCTAATAGCAAAACGCCACACCGGGGTCTGGTTGGCGTTTCCCACATATTAAACATTCTGAACTTGTCCTTTCGCTCAGAGATTGTGCATAATTAATAATTAAACAGCTTCTGTTGTAATGGGTTGACCTTCTTGAACTGTTCATTATTCACAAGGTAGAGGCAATCACTCAAAACAACACTCCCGGATGGTGCGTCTCTGCGTTTGTCCTGCCAGCGTTCAGAAGAGTCAGAGGGTTGCGCTGTGTGAGAACCAAGGCCGCCTCTGTTGTCAGCTTCTCAGGAGGCCTGTGTGGACCTCGGATGGAGAATAGTGTTAGGAGAACCGGCCATGGGGCTGATTTGAATCCTCACTCCTAATTTGTACATCCATCAAAAGTTGTTGGAAATTTCTGGATCAGATCTTGCTGGAGCCAAAAGCTGCTGCTTGGCCTTCAGCCAGACGACTTGTCTCTCTCAGGAGGGTTTCTGCCCTGCCCAGGATTCTTCAACCAGAGCAGAAGGAGCTCCGGGGCTTAGTTTGGATTCTTGATTGCTCGTGAGGAGTCTCTCACAAAACATCTACCACCATGGGGCCAGGGACGTGGTATTTGCATAGTGGCTGCTATGGTAGCACCTGTCCAGGAAAACAAGACCTGCATGTACGTAGGAAAAATGGACTAAGACCAGCTTCTCAAGCTGTCTCAACCTTCTGCATAGCTGAGGCGATGCAAGTGTTTAGTTCAGAGGCTTGGTTGGAAAAAAGAGTCCACCGGCCTCTTATGGGGAAGGAGATCCTAACAGAAGAAAATTTCTGGAGCTCAGGGTTGAATTGTGGGGTCCTTGGTGCTCTCTGAGCTTGGTTGTTTGCTTGCAGATATCTCATCATCCAACTTGGTAGAAATAGTCCTCAACGACCATAATTGGGAATGGAACTCCCTTCATTAAATAATGCGGCCTGGAGACTAAAACATACGAAGAACGGCTGCAGGACTTGGGTTTGGGTAGTCTAAAGAAAAGAAGAAATAGGGGAGACATGATAGCAGTATTCCAGTATCTGAGGGGCTGCCACAAGGCAGAGGGGACCAGGTTGTTCACCAGAACAACAGAGGGAAGGACGAGAAACAACGGTTGGAAATTGATCAAAGAGAGAAGCAACCTGGAACTAAGGAGAAAGTTCCTGACAGTGAGGACAGTCAACCAGTGGAACAGCTTGCCTCCAGAAATCATGGGCGCTCCATCACTGGAGATTTTTAAGAGGAGACCGGACATTCACTTGTCTGAAATGGCATAGGTTCTCCTGTTTGAACAGGGGGCTGGACTAGAAGACCTCCAAGGTCCCTTTCAGTTCTATCATGTCAGCCAAGACCAATTTTGCCACCCTTTTTCACCACAGTTTTTAAGTGAATCTGACACCCTGCATTTGCTTGTCAGAAGCCAGCTGGGAAGGTTGCAAATGGAGATGACATCACCCTGGGATGTTGCAGCCATCGTAAATACATGCTGGTTGCCAAGCCCCCAAATCACATGGCCGCAGGAATGCTGAATGAGAACTTTTCATTAGTCACTTTTTTCGGCACTTTTTTGAACATTCGCTGAATGAATGGTCATAAGTCAGGGGCTACCTGTAACATCATTGTCCAGAGAAGGAAGGGGCCAATGACTTTACCAAGTTGGGTCTTGAAATTTCTGTAAGCAAACAACCAATTGAGAGAGCACCAAGGACTCTGCGGGGGGGGGGCTTGCCTGTCCTGCTGGGCAAAGAGGTTTCCTAAATGTGGGACAGTCGTTGTCGCCGGATCTTCACTTCCAAATTGCACAGAGGGCTCACACCTGAAAAGCCCTCAAATACGCCATATTAGCAGGCCTACCATATTAGGTCTGTTATAAAGAATATTGTGGAAGGCAATGGTCTCCAACCTTGGCAACTTTAAGACTTGTGGACTTCAGTCCCAGAATTCGTTAGCCAGCTATGATGGGAGGCAAACACCCACAAGGAATTCTAGGAGTTGAAGTCCACAAATCTTAAACTTGCCGAGGTTGGAGACCCTGGGTGGAAGGCAAACGCCGCAGGCAGCCCTGAAAGGTTCCCTTTATGTAATACGGAGGTAGGGAATTATGGCTCTTTTTTGACTTGTTTACTTCAACTGGCTGAGAAATTCTGGAAGTTGAAGTCCACAAGTCACAAAAGGGCCCATGGTCCCCCATCCCTGATGTAATGGAAGCCCCAAGCAAACAGCCTCCAAGGGCGAGTCTCTCTCACCGCTTCCTTGTAGAGCCTTCAGTCAAGGCGAGGTTTTTTGAGCTTTTCTCTCTTTGCCCAGCCTCGTGCAACCCACAGAAGGCATGTCAAAGAACCCTCTGAATCTTGTCGCCTTGTACTCTTCAGTAACTTTTGATTTAATTGTGTTTTGCTGCAATTTCTGTTTGTTTGAATTGGAGACAAAGCCTTAATAAGAGTTCTAGTTAATTTTCTATCTTGTAATTACCACTCTCATTTTTCTGATAATTGGGCCGTCGCAATTATATATATATTTACTAATCACTTCAGCAGCTCGGTGGTTGCTTCTTGCCGCCACTATTGAGAATGACATGCACACATGTGTGTTAGTGGCAGAGCTCTGAGCCTCCTCCTCCTCCTCCTCCTCCTCCTCCTCCTCCTCCTCTCCTCTCCCCTTTTTAAACTCTCCTCCCCCCCTTCTCCCTGTCGCATCCAAGCCATTTCCCTCGCAGCCCTCCCTAATGAACCCCTCACATGCATTTGACACAGTTGTGTGCGAGAGAAATTGTTTGGCTCCCGCCAAATGTTACACGCTCTGAGTTTCTTGCCTGCAGCATTAGAAGGTTGTATGTGATGATAGATGGCTCTCGCAAGCGGCCAAAAGAGGCAAAGCACGGCGAGATTAAAATAAGTCATTCCTTTGTTAATTTAAATAGGTGCATGCATCATACTTTGCAGAGCACTCGGGGACAGAGCTGGGTAAGGTGGTGGGGAAACTGTGGCAAAAGCTGCCGAAAGATATTTTTAATAGCAAATGAGAATAGATGAGAGGCAAAGTCATTTGCAGCTGATTCCTGTTAGACGTGGCTCTCTTGTTCCAACTGTAGGACTAATGAGATGCCTGTTAAAGTCCTCCACGGTGCCATTTCATTACATCCGGAGCTGTTAGACTATAAACACTGGCAAGCCTCTCTTTCATTCCGGGCCTGGAGGGGGGCACCGCCAAGCCTCCCCACGTGTGCATCCCCCTCTCACAGAGACCGTGCTCTTCCCCTTGAAATAATACGGAGACACACACACCCCCAATTTGCGGAATATATCTATGGGTTCTCTTTTTGTCGGCTGGTTGGTTAATTAGCTCAGCTCTCTCTTTTTTTTAATTCTTTATACACTCCTGGCTTCTTCTGCTTAAATCTAACAAGATTTGGGGTTGCTAAGTGTAAATAAATAGCAACTATGATGGAGGAAGCGAAGGTCAACACAAGAATAATTTCCCAGCTCTTTGTTAATTACAAGACCATTTGGGTGTTACTTAAATAATCATTAATTTCTCATTTACACTTTCGCTACCTTCTTGCCTGCCCTGTGGCTATCATTGTCCGTTTTCGACTTCCTCTTGCTCGGATTTCTACGTGTGTTTCCCCCACTGCGTAACGCTCATTACTTTTAAATGCAGGGTTTCCTTTTATTTGATTTTGTTTTTTAAAACGTCCTCCATTTGTTTGCCATCAGAGAGTGATGGCGCAATTGACAATTTGGACTCACGCTTTCTCCTTCTTTTTCCTCCCTCCCTCCCCTGCCTTCTCCCCCTACCCGTGGCCAAAACGGGCTTGTAGGAATCTCCTGTCCTTCCGGTTGGGGAGTTCTCGGAGCCATTTGTACACTTCATCACTCAATGGTAAGCTTCGTTTGCAAATGTGCCGTGCCCTCGATGTAAATGACACATGCCATTAACTCCCCATATCACAGGACCTTATGGCTTCCTCTGAATCCTTCCAGGGCTCCAGGGACCTGGCGGGGCTGGGCCAGCTGGGCCAGCAAAGCTGAGCAAACTGTTTAAATTATGTAAACGTTATTTACACAAAGGGTCATAAAAGTACTTCGGAGGGGGACTTTTTTGCCCCCACCCATTTTTTCCATAAACAACTGCATTCTCGGAGAACCGGTGCCATGCGTTTCCACAGGCACACAGGCATGTGTTCGAAATCCCTTGAATGAAGATGATAATCGTATTTACCTTTCTATTATTCAAGCATTTCTCTTCTTACTTAGAAAAATACACTCCACTTTTGAAGGGTCTAAACTGCAGCCTTGATAAATTTGGGGGCTTTTCATTTGGAAGAAATTTTATGTGGGTCTGTCTTTGGGAGGTGTTCTGATGGGGCTGCATCTTTTAAACCACACTGTAGGGCATGTTTTCATTCTTCTAGACAGACTGCCTTGGTCAGCCAGGAATGCTCCTTAGATTAAGCAGCGCCATTAAAAGGAAGCAGATGTAGTTTAAAGTCGGAATCTTCTGAGCACCAAAAGGTTAACTTACCATAGCAAAGATATGTTCAATGCCTCTTTTATATGGAAAGATGATAAACAAGTATTTGAAGGCTAAAAGAACAAGTAACTTATACAGTCTAAACATATGGATGAGAGCTAGAATTACTCTTTTTCTTCTCAAACAAAATAGCTTAATTTTGTAGAGGAATGGAAAACAAAACAATCCACACACCAAGGCATGCACTTACTAAAATGTAATAGTAGCAACCTCGCATTATATGGAGAAAGACAGTGGGCATATCAATAAAGTTGCACCACTTTAAAAGAACTGAAAGTCTATTCTCTTTTGTGGAAGGGATAGGAGAGAGAAATGTTCAAAGCTACCAATTTAAAAAAAATCACTCACAGCACCACACAGAATGGGGCCAGCCGCTTGCAATAAATACTAATAGGAATATCCCTGTTGAAAAATACTGATGCTGGCAGTCAAAATTGCCCGCCCCCAAACACTTTCCTTTGTTCTAATTTTCCTTTCCTTTGCAAGTAAAGTTTTTGACTGATGTCAATAGAATTTACTTCGAATGAGGTAACCAAGTGGGAGAAGCCTTGGAATAAATGCTGATGACAGAGGCCTCTCCTGGAATATTCCAAAGGGAGGTATTTTTTTTAAGAGAGAGAGAAGGAATTAACAGTGTGACTATTGTTAATTGAAATAATAAATACAAAGCTTATGTTTATTATAAGACTGATCCACTTTGGGGTAGATTAGATTTCTGTAGTAAAGCTGGAACGGTGGATGATCTATCTTGCTGTACCTTTCCACTTCTACCCAGAGATTAATCAGAAAGCATATTGTTTTTATATTTTTTTAATTGAGGCAGGAGGAGGGCTAACCTCTACAGATACCTCCACAGATGTCAGGTGGAGGCATAAATGATAGCACACAATAGCCTCCTTCTCCCATAAGACCCAGCTACTTTGGAATGTCAGATTAAGCATGTTGCCAAGGTGGCTTAGAACATCTTGCAAAGAGTGCAGCCCTCGGTTGGTTTTGCAGGCGAGGGAAGCAACGAGGGAGCTGTTGCTGCAGTCAGGATTGGGAAATGACTGGGGACGGCAGCAGAGTGGGGCTTGGCCAGTTGTGCAGGAGGACTCTGGGAGCTTCACATAATTCTGTGGAGATTCTCAGTCATCCATGTTTGTCCCAAAAGTGCTTTTTCAAAAGGCGATTGGACTGTCTTTGTTTTTCCTTGATCTTCTGATTGAAAAACTGAAGAAGCTTCTTGAATGAGAAGCGAAACATCTTCAAGGAAAAACAAAGCAATTCCAGTTGCCTTTTGAAAAAGCACCTTTGGGACCCCACATAATTCCCATCTGATACCCTGGCCCTTATTTGCCTTTCAAAAATGGCACTGTAATGTGGGAATTGAGTAGTACGAACTAAAAAAATCCAGATTCCTTCCAGCTTCTTTCTCCCATCCACTGCATGGCAGGAAATAGGGCAGTTGTAGGATTGCAGAAGTAACCATTGCATCAAACTAATAAGGGCCTGTTTTAGAAAATGATGGGATTTCCAGGGAGACTGAAGGGTATTTCACAAAAAAAGGAAACCCAACAGGAACAGCAATATTGCAGCTGGAAAACTTGAAATTTTGTAGGACTCTAACAAGCTGGACCAAAGAATAAACAGTAAACTCAGTGGCAGAAGTGAACAGAATTCCTTTTTGGCTACTGTTTGGAGGGAATGTTTTTATGGGCTTCTGTTGAGTCATCCTGGATGATCAGGGTTTGTCCTAAGCCTGCTTCCGCAGTTTTTCTTGAGTCCCTGACATGTTCTAAACGAGCATCTAAAATGTGTTACAGCAAATGGCTCGTTCCTTCTTAGCTCATTGAAGCATAAAATATTTTTTCTTTAAAAGACATCATTTGGGGCACTTTTTAAAGCAATCTTTCAACATTCCCCCTTGGTTGGTACAGTTTAGTTTATGACTGTTGCTCAAGCATCATGAGATATTTAAGAATCTTCACTGTTCTTGGGACATTTCCTAACTTCTTTTTTTTCTCCGTGTTTTCAGTATGAGGAAGCAACCAAAAGAACGACCAGCCCCCGAAGAATTAATGGTGAGTTGATCTAGCTCTACATCCTTGGAGACATACACCCCAAAAAGTTTATTGATTTATGACACATACAAACTTGTTTATTGTTTTTCCCCATAAGTTAACTAATATCAAATCTAAACTTTGCTTCCAGCACTGGCATCGAGCAAATATTATTGAGACATGCATTATCTCATTTCATTAGCATTGTTAATTGACTTTGGTAAAATTTAGGGGTAGGATCAGCCATGCATTAGCAAAACCTTCTTGGAACTTTCTGGCCTTTAGGTCAAAAGAGGCTTTCTGTCGAAGAGATTATTCAGTCCTTCCTAAATTTGGGGAATTTTTTTTTTAAAAAAATAATAATCCAGGTGTGTGTATGTGTGTAATCAACATCAGCATTTGTGATATCCAATACTCTATATAGTATTCTTATTATGAAATGGGAGAGCCAGACTTCACCTTGCTAAGGTTTCTAAAGAAAGACCCTCATTTCCTCAAGTTTCCTTTGTTTCTCTCTGTTGGTAACAGCATGAGAGATGAACATGTTTCTTTTTCCTTCTTTCTTTAAAATGAGATGTATTTATTTCCCTATTCATTTTTTATGGTTATTGAATTTCTATACCACCCAACTTCCAATGACTCTGAGCGACTCATGAAAAAACATTTTCGAAAGAATAAAGGCACCAAGATCCTAAAAACCTCAATACCTGCTTAGTTGTACATCATTTTGGGGAGATGAGAGGTGTTGGGTACTTTGTATATATCAGGGGAAAACAGAGGAAGGCAGATGCCAAGTTCCCACCAAAGTTAAAGAATGATGGTCACAATCCATAAAATCATGCAACTCCTGTTGCACCCTAAATAGTACTTCAGGCTTGTCTTCTTCAAACAACCGGACCCACGTTCATATGCTGCAGACACTGCTCAGTGTATGTGTGAAACTGCTTTGGAATCTAGTGCTAGGCACAGTAGTATTTGGGAATGGAAGCTGTTGTTGAACATGTCACTGAACTGATCCCAGCATCCCAAATGCTGCTTTCTCAGTTCTTTCTTCATGATGGTGAGACATTTTACCTTGAATCTATTTTTGAAAGCCAGTAATTTCTGTTGATGTTGAAAGAGCATTTAAACAACTCTTGATATACCTAAACGATGTAGAACGTGGTATTTTTCTCCACACCACCCATTCTATTTCTGAGTACTGTTGGTTGAAGCTGCCTTAATTTGCCCCTTTTTTTATTAACTTGGGATGGTTGGAAGGTTCCCGCACTTAGTCACATCTGAGAGAACTTGGAACAGGTTCTAGAGATGGAGATGCATTTACCTTACACAATGTTATTATTCTATGCCTGGGTGGCTTGACTATTAAACCAACAGAACAGGGTTTCATAAAATCCGTAGCTCTTTGTAAATGCATGCTTTCTGTGATGCAATAGGCCCGGCACTTATAAATAAAACATCTGCAGATCACACTTCACAACCCTCCGTATATATCTGTGTGTGTGTGTGTGTGTGTGTGTTCAGAAGCTATAACGCCACTACAGGGTGTAAAGCCATAAAGACGGAGGCCAAGGGGTGAGTGCCGATAGGAACAGAGACGCTGAGTTATATATCTTTCCAACTACCTGCCCTGAAGTGCTGGGTTCAACTCATAAGGCAGCATCTTTCCCCCTTTAATAATTAAAAAAAGCATGACAGCTTCAGAAAGAGAATTGGGCTTCTTTTAAGAAGGCTGCTTTTTCTCCTTTGAAAGTGGGCTTCTAAAATAGCTGCTTAGCCAGCAAAGTTGGCCTTTCATTACTGACAAGATCTTCTGCTCGTGGAGAGAAGCCTGGTTGAGGTCTTCTTTGCTTATGGACCTGTGAGTTGGCCACACCTACAGTTCCCTTCCTTCTAGGGTGGATTCCTGGACTGAGAGTGGTTCCCTAGATTGATTTTCCAGATTCATCCTGATTTGGTTCTGATTTTTGCTTATACTGCAGAATTGCAGATGGGTGGATGCCAACATTAGAATAGAATAGAGCTGGAAGGGACCTTGGAGGTCTTCTAGTCCAGCCCCCTGCTCGAGCAGGAGAACCTACCATTTCAGACAGAATGAGACCATGACACTTTACAAAAGTGATTTTATCAGTTATATTGGAAGGATATTTTTTTAGCGATGATGGCATTCTCTCCTGCAGTTTCCCGAAGTCTTGAAAGATTTCAGACAGATTTTCTGTTTAATCAGGAAAGGGGGAAGGAGCTGAAAAGACAGCCACTTACACAGCTGCAGTTATTTTTCTAGACTTTCTTGTTTTCCTCAGGTTAGGAAGCCTACAGTCTGCTGATGTGTTCAAGTAATATTTTCATCTTAACCATACAGTTGAACTGCACTAATTTCTCTGTACTGTTTCAAATGCCATCCTAGGGGTAGATTTCTGAAAAACTTTTAGCAAGACAACATGAGGCATTGTCTATGTTTTGGACAGATACATTGAGTTTTGCCAATGAGACAGCAAGAGAGAAAGGGTTGGGCCTAGATCAGTTGGAGCAAAGACCGAAAATTAAGCTACTATAGGTAGCTCTTGACTTACAATCACAGTTGGGACCAGAATTTCAGGCACTAAGGGATTTGGTCATGTGACCAGACCTGATTTTACAACAATTTTTCTGTGGTCATTAAGTGAATCCAGCTTCCCCAATTCACTTTGCTTGTCAGAAGCCACTGGGAAGATCCCAAATTATGACCACATGACTACAAGACACTGCAACCATCATAAATGTAAGCTGGTGGCCAAATGCCTGAATTGCAGTCTGGTGACCACGGGGCTGTGCAATAGTCGTGTGAAGATGGGTGCAAAGTCACTTTTTCTGAGGCCGTCGTAACTTTGAACCCCCATTAAACAAACAGTTTCAACCTGAGAAAATTCCTGGACAAGACCAGCTCTCTAGCTCATTCCAAAGCTATAGAATGAGAAAAATGCTACAGACTCTTCAGGCTGCATGGTTACTTTAGAATACTACAGATCATTTAATCTAATAAACAATGGCAGCAAAGTGAATACAGTGGTGCCCTGGTCCTCGACGTTAATTGGTCATAGGAGGCTGCGAAACTACGAATGCCAAGCAAACCAGGTAACTTGCAATATGAACCTTGGTTTTGGCCAGGAGAAACTTTCTGTCTGTCCTTTTTCCTGGGTCATTCACCTTCCCCTGTTTTGCAGCGTTTCGCCTCTCTGTTAGCTGAATCATGAAACATGGCTCCAAAATCCAGTTTTTACAGTTACTTATCATCTTCTTTTGCAACATCTCTGTGAAATGCTGTCCACCAGAACTGGGCCTTGTAACAAGACATGCACTTGTATCAAAGTCCACTGAGAAGGCCTTCCACAGGAGAAAAGAATTTGCTTCCATCCTTTGTGAAAGTGTTTACGCTCAGAGAGAACTTTCGACAACATGAATGCAAGGCCCCTCAAAGTCTACTCCAAGTGGTGCTCTGTCCCCCTTTCACTGGAGAGTCCCTCTGATGTGCCCCTACCAATGTTGCTTCCGTGTGTTGATGATGTTGTCACAACAGTAGCTGAAGCAAGCTTTGAATCGGAGTGCGTCGCTTCCTCCTTCCTCCCTTACATCCATCCTTTGCAACACCTTATGGCCCCATTTCACCCGGCTGCCGTGCTTGCATCCTTCATAAACGACTGCTCGGTCAAAGAGAGGGCCTATCCCCGCCTGCTTACAAAGGGTGGTTGATTTTAAAAGGCAGGAAAAAGGTGTCTGTTTATCTGTTGGTCAGAGGGACGCAGCCGTATACGAGAGGGACACACGTGGGACTCCGTCATGCGGTGATGCGCTTGGCTTTGGTCACCGTTGATTTTGGCCTCAGTGGCACCATTTTCCCAAAGCTTTCAGTTCCTAAGCTCTATTTAATGGAATCTATGCATAGTAAGTAACCAGGTCAGAGAGAGACAGCCTTCCCCGTTTGAGATCAATCGCTGGCTAATACTTTATCTAGGTCACTTTATTATCTCGTGGCGATGCCATTCCCATCCGCCGCCTCCTTTTGTAAGACACACTTCAGCTGTGGGGAAAGTGTTAGCGCATACATATTAAAAACATATACCCATTCTATCTGTATGTAAATGCACAAGGCACAGCTGGATATTGCCAAGGAGTTTGATTTACTAATGGTTATTATCTGTTCTCGCTGTTCAGTAGCAGGGAGAGTTCCAGCAAGCATCCGCACATGGAAATTGTCTCCCAGAAGTGCTAGCCTGCTTTTGAGAATTGTTTAGAAAGGCGGCCCGACTACTGGGCCTTTGGCATGACCGTGTTTCTGAAGAGGCTCTGGCAGCCCCTCGCTGAGTCCTCCTTAGAAAGCATGTCCTCTTCGCTGAAAGCAGAAAAGGTCCGGGGGGGGGGTGTCCTGAAAGCCACCCCTCTTCCCGACTGCCCTCCACTGCAGAATAGAAGGCACCTTGCAGAAAGCTGTATCTCCACCCCAAGGAAACTGGAGGCACCTCGACTTTGTTCACTGAAGCCCCCCAAAAGAAACAGTGGCCCTGGATCACCTTTTGTGGATGCTGGGGTTTCTTCTCATCCCCCCTTTGCCTCCAGCTGACTCTTCAGGAAAAGGGATAAAGAGTGTCTATCTAAATCGATCTTCTATCATCTGTCTATCTATATCAAATGTCTTCAGCCTATCAATCGACTATCATCTAGCTAACAATCTTCTAGCAATCATTTCTCTATCTATCTCGTCTGTCTGTCTGTCTGTTGAATTTCTGTGCCGCCCATCTCACTAAAACAGCCACTCTGGGTAGCTTACAATATAATAAAAGAGTTAAAAACTGCTTAAAAATATAAAATTAAAATAAAAAGGTTAAAAATTAAGAACCAAGATGATGGGCAGCCTGGAAGTGAGAATCTCCTCTACCCCATGAGCCGCCCCAAGATAGCAGGCCCAGGCCAAAAGGCAGAGCCAAGCTATTCTGGAAAGCCAGGCAGGGGTGTGTGGATCTGACCTCTATTTGTCTGCACTCAGA